TTTCCTCATATTATTAAAATATTTACTTTTCTAATGTTGTTACTGGTTTCAAATTTTAAGCTAACAGGATCATTATGTTGCATAAAGCTATCCCTACCTACTATGATTTCACTAGAATACACCTCATTGATACACAAAAGGTACTTCTTTCATGCCAAATTACATTCATTCTAATAGCGAATGGTCAGGTCAGATGAACTCATATGCCTAGTTCGCAAAGGAGACACATATATACTAGATTATAAAGAAATTCTTATTTCAAAATTAATCTTTCAGAGTCCCTATTTTTCATGTACTTTCAACTGAATTTTGGAATTCTTTTTTCCCTTTCTTTGGCCTTGCCCCGTGGTATGCAGAATCTTAGTTCCCAGCCCAGGGATGAACTGCTGCCCCTTGTACTGGGGGCAGAGTCTTAACCACTGGATTGCCAAGGAGGTCCTGGGAATTATTTTATTTTTTAACTCTAAAACTTATAAACAGATTCCACATTTTCTAATTTAACAAGTTACAGTAGATCAGAAACTGTAAATCATATATTCAAATCACAAATAACTAAAATTTATTTATAAGATATTTACTCCACATTCAAATGAGCTAGGACTGTGTATTTTAGAGGAAAAAAAGGACATGAGTTTTAATATAAACCTTAGTATATTATGTAATATATAATGTATAATTTTAATTCATGTGTAACTACCCACTTAATACCAAAAGAAAAAAGAGGCAAAAATAAGTTAAGTAGTTACAAAGTAATGTGATTTTTTTTTTTTTGCACAGAATTTCCAACCTGTCAATATTCTAGGCCACAAACACCTAGAATATCTTTTGCAATAGTAGTCATTCTAATAGGTGTGAGGTGATATCTCATTTATGGTTTTGATTTGCATTTCTCTGATGATTAATAATGTTGAGCATCTTCTCATATTTTTTTCTATTTATATATCATTTTTGGCGAAATGCCTATTTAAGTCCTCTGTCCATTAAAATTTTTTTTTCTTTTAAACTTTTTATTTTGTATTGAGGGATAGTTGATTAACAATGTGATAGTTTCAGGTAAATAGCAAAAAGACTCAGTCATGCATACACATGTATCCATTCTCCCCCAAACTCCTCCCCTCTCATCCAGGCTACCAAACGATACTGAGCAGAGTTCCATGTGCTATACAGTAGGTCCTTGTTGGTTATCCCTTTGTTCATTTTTATTTTTTATTTATTTATTTATTTATTTATTTTTATTTATTTATTTTTCTTTCTTTTCTTTTCTTTCTTTCTTCTTTCTTTCAGACCAACTCTGTCCCAGTTCTAGGAGGGCAGAACCAGGGGGCATGTCCTGAATAGTGGTCAGTGGGGCTGATATTAACCATAAAAGAAACACCGAAGAATTCTAACAGTCGGGGTGTTAAACATCTGGGTAAATTATTTGGAGCAGCTGTGAGATCTCACTCTCTTTAATAACAGAACAGACTCTTACCTGCTGTGGAAAGGTTGTGAAGTAATGCTATTCAAGTCAAAACTGGTGAACTTTTCAAAACCCCATCCAGACCAAGACACCGAGAATTAATACACATCTACACTCAGCACAACTTTCTGAAAAGCAGTACCTTTATGTCACTGGAAGATTATCTAAAAAAGTGGCTTTCTGTGCAGTGTTATGCATTCTACTAGATATCTGAGTCTTTTCTATCTGCATTCTCCTTGGTGCTATTGAACTAGAAGTTAACTGCTTTTACTTTCCAAATTTTAATTTTTAAACCAAATCCTAATTATAGCACGAGCCCAAATTACTAAACTGATTTACCTAACTGCATGACCTTGGGAAATCACTTCTTGTAAAACTAGAGGCTTGCACTAAGATCCACCAGAATGCAATCTCCACATTCTGTTCCCAGTCCCGGAACCTGGAAGGATTAAGTGCTTACCAAATGAGAGGACTGTTCCTGTTACCAAATGACAAATACAAAATAAATGCAATCATTTTTTTCTTTTTTAACAACTGGATTTTGATCGGCATATTCCCAAACATTTTTAAGAGGACACTGAAACTGAAATTTCCTATTAGGCCAATACAAATGTATATAATTTCAGACAAGGACCTCATTTTAAAGAAATAAAACAAGTAGATTATGCAAGAGCTGACAAGCTTCACCTTGTTTATTACACTTTCTTTTCTCCAACCTTTTACTGTGCCCTGTCCCTTTTTCATTTGAAAGGCAGGCAGTTAGTAGGGAGAGAGTGTACTGCACTTGCAGTGAGTGGGCCTGGATCCTAGTCCCATCTCTTTCATGAACTGACTCTGTGGGGACATGTCACTTCCCCTTTGGGGCTTGCCCACTTGCATATGTAAAACCAAGAAGACAAACTAAGCATTAATTTCTGAAGTCTTCTTTAAAAAGGAATGATTCTCCCTTCATTCTATCCATTATCCTATTCCCAACGCCTTGATTCAGCCCTTGCAATCCACATCTTTCCTAGCTTCTACAGGAACCTCAAATTTGTCTCTTTCCCTCTTTATTTTTCCTTTTTATCTTAAAATGAATTCAATCTTAAACCATGAGTTGAGCAGAATGAAAAACACTCTCTTTGAAGTCAGAAAGACCAGTTTCAAATTCAGATTTTGCCACTAGCTAAGCACAGCTCTAAAATAGTGATGTTATTAACTACCTCACTGGGGATTAAGTACAATGTATAAAGCACCTAACAGCACCTGACACCATATAGATGTTCTTAAAGATCAGTGCTTCTCCCTATTTCCCAAGATCAAATGCCTCAGGTTCCCATTGTCGACAAGGATGACCAACAAGCTGCACAGGCGGCATGCAAGTAGATTTGTAAAACTACAGAGGCAACAACTGGATTAAATATTCTCACCAGGTTCCCATGTGCCTGTATCCTTGTCAGTCTTCTGGGTAAAGCATCCTCAGTCACCAGTAGCACCCCCCACCTTCTACTCTGTGACCTTGCAAAATCAAATGGTAGAGTCAAATCCACAAGTTAAGAGGAAATGAAAACCTGACATGGGTCTTCAAAAAGTCATAGATTCTCCAGATTTTATGTGAAAGCAAACTCCTCAGCCTGTCATTCATGTGAAAGGAAGCCAGTTCCAATTCTTAGTGTTTAAATGTTCGGTTAGTAACATTAAATGTTCGGTCAGCTAACGTTAGTATTTAAACATACATTAGTACAGTTAATGTTAAAGTACCACCAAGCATTATAATTTATTTTGATTTTGCAATTCCAGGAAATTAAAAGGCGTGATAAAAGAAAAGAGTAAATTTTTTCACAAAATAAGGATATGCTGAACTTTGAAGGACTATACAAGCAGCTTCAGAAAAGCAGTGGCTTTCTTCTTGATTTCAAAACTGGGTCAAAACTAAAAGGAACAAGAAGAGTGATGGGGGTTTGCAAACAGAAGCTCATTTCTTAAAGTGATTTAAGTACAGTTATTTAATTACATGGGACCTTTCCCCCAAAGTAGGAATAATTACAACCTTTACTTCCATACACTAGTCAATGATACAGCTGAGTTACTGGGTAACAGAGGGCAATCAATCAAGTGTGTGTAAGTCTGGAAACCAAAGAGATCTTGTGAAGAAATCTAGTTTTTTGAAGTGCCACTTTCTTTCCCAAGCTACTTCAGCCCAAGCAAAAGCCCATGCTGCCAAACCATGTGACTAAAAAGACAGAATATTATTTATGAAAAAATTCTTTCAGGAGGCTTAGCTTCATTAAGAATTATCCAAATTCACATCTCTACTTAAAAAACTAAAGCACTAGAGTAAGCCAACCTGCTCTACTGGACCTTTGAAATGTACTATGCAGCAAATCGAACCAAAACCCCTATCATGAGCTGTCATCTTTCTGCAAAGGAATTATTCACCAACACTGCTGCTTCTGGTTGATCCTTTTTTAAAAGAATGACAGGTAAAGTCAGTTTTCTCCCTCATGTTCTTTGCTCACATCTCAAACTAAACAGAAGGAATCGTCTCCACCCAGACGAGATCTCCGATCAAAGCCATTCACCTAGATGGCCCTTTCTCCTTAACAGACTCCTCCAGTCCCTTTATTTCCCACCCTGTCCCTGTCCCTCTGCAGAGCACCCTCAATGCTACAACCCCTTTCTCCAGTCTAGCTTTCCCTCCTTTCTGACTTAATCGATTACTAGTACCCAGGCTTGGTTCCGGCTTCATCCTCCAACTCCAGTCCCATCAGTGCCGAGCCCCTCCTCAGCTCTGACTCCCGTTTTGGCCTCTTATCTCTAACCTTTCTCAGTCTAATAATCCCCATGTCTTTAATACCTGGTTTTATCGGTGACGCCCCTACCCAAATCTCATGTCAATTATTGTCACTTCTGGCCTCTGCCCAGTCCCTCTTCATTTTAGACCCCGACTAATCTCCTCCTTTTTCTGGTCCTTGGTTAAAACCCAAATCCCATCGTAACCTCAAGTCCTCCTCTGATCCCAGCAAAGGCCTTTACTCTGGCTGGCCCATCCCACTTTTTCTCTGACTCTGAAGCTGGTGCCTTCCCCCACTCCTTCACTGATACCCTGGGCCACAAAATCTCGGGTCCTCGCCTAGTCTACTAGTACCCCATTTCTGACCGCCCGATAACACGCGCCATCCCCCATCACACACTCCAGGCCACTACGTCGATCTTCCCCCATCTCGGGGATGCCAGCTTTGGACCCTCCTCCCCATCCCCTTCCCGGGCCTGCCCCTTTGGTGACCTCAGCTCAAAGCCCGAGAGACCCCTCCCCAGCCCGCCGCTCAGCCCTGCCCCGCATCCCCAACTCAATTTCATCAGCCCTCACCCAATCACTCCCCACCTGACCGCAGCCCGGTGACCTCCGCCCTGACAAGCCCGGTGCTCCATCTGCCCTTTCTCCGTGCCTCCCCTGCCCCACACGCCCTCCGCACTTCAAGCCCAGTGGGGTGTGTCCCCTCCCCACGGAACTCCAGCCCGCTGGCCTCTCCCTCGGGGGTCACGGGCCGCCCCTCCTCACCTCTGCGTCCACCACCTCGTGGTACGCGGGCGGGGGGTCGAACCCGCCGCCGCCTCCGGTGCTCCCGCCGCGGGAGGGGCCGTCGCCGCCGCCGCCGTCGCCCCGCGAGCCCCCGCCGGGCCCGGGGCTGGGGCCGCCCCCGCTGTCCATAGGCTCGTAGCCGCCGTAGTCGAGGCCCGGCCGCTCGTTGGTGAGCAGCGCCACGGCTTCGTTGATGTCGTTCTTGGCCAGGCGCAGGGCCTTGCGGATGGTGGCGGGGTCCGAGAAGCCCATGCACAGCAGCGTGGTCATGTGCTGCTCCTCCTCCGATTCCATGGCTCCGGCCTCCGGGCCCCGCCGGCCGGCGAGCAGCGAAGCTGCGGGTCCGGGGCCTGGCGGGCCCAGCGGCGCTGCGTATGCGCCGTCCCCGCACCCGGGCGGGCCCTTGCGTTCCTGGGCTGCGCGCTCCGCGGCCGCCGGGCCAGGTTGGGCGCGGGCGTGGGCACCGCGAGCCGAGCTACGGCAGTGGGGCGCTCAGGAGCGGCGGCGGCCCGGCCCAGCCCTGCGCGCCGCCATGTTGGCCTCCTCCTCCGCCTCCGCCTCCTCCGGCCCGCGGGGCCGCGCCTCCGCTCCCGGAAGCCGCACGAGCCGCCGCGGGGCCCGCAGGTCACGGGTGAGGGTTGGGGGCTGATTTTTCTTTCTTTCTTTCGTTTTTTTTTTTTTTTTAAACAGAGGCAATAAGGGAGGGGCCGCGCCGCGCAGCGTCTAGGTCGAAAGGGCCGCCATGAGGCCCAGGCGGAGGCGATGGAGGGTTCACCGCCGCCGCCGCCCGCCCATTCCTCCAGCAACAGGTTCCCCCGGGAGCGGGAGGGGCCGGAGTGAAGTACAGCTCGCGGCGCGGAACGTCCCCGGGCCGGCGATCCTGCCCTGCGCTGGGGGCAGTTCCCTCCGAACCTGCCCGGTGTCCCCGCCGGACTCCCTCTCCCGGGCTCGCTCGCCCCGGCGCGGCCCGGAACGCACTCCATCCTAAACGCAGTGCGCTTGGCCGCTGCTGTAACCCACCCCCAACCGGGTCTGACAGGGACCGCGGTCCTGGAGGAAATCCTTCCGCCACGCTGCCTGAAATACCCTTCAGCGCCCACTTAAGTTCATGCCCCAAACCGGCCAAATCGACCCACTCGGGCTGAAATGCACCATACTCTTGACCTAAATCCTTCCAACTTTGGCTGAAATCACCCTCAACTGGTTTAAGTAAATTCCCAGCCTTCGTTGAGTTTGCCTTCCATCCTTGACTGACCACCACCTACCTACCCCCGGCTAACCTGAGTGGACTTTACCAAACACATGCCAGAGTCCCCTGAGAGTCTGAAACATATTTTTACAACCCGAATTCTAAATCCCAGTGCTCTCTGTGAAAACCTCCAAAAACTCCAGACTGCATCACCCTCCTTCAGCCTCTGACTCATCCCAGCACCTTGGACCTCTGTTCCCCTCCTGATACCCACCCACCCACGTTTTACTGCACTCTTTGGCTCAGGATTCCGGCTATGTTTCTGCCTTTTGAGGGGGGACTGCGCCCCCTCTTTTCTATACCCGTTGCGGGAGGCGACCGCACCCCTGTTGATTTCCACCTTTGAGCATTCCCCTTCCCCTTCAGAAACTGCTTGCTTTGCTTTCTCTTTTCACTTTTAGCATTGTTACCCAGGGGGCATATCTTTAGGCCACTGACTTTACCATCTAAGCCCTGGTCCTTGCTGTTTCCCCGCTTCAATTTCCTTTAATTCATGCTTCTCCTAAGTTATTTCCCTCTCCCAAGATCCTGATAGTTTCCCCCTATCTCACTACATGCTAAATTAATCCATCTGCTAATACCCTGACCCTTGTTTCTTCCTGAACCATGAAGTCATCATCTATCTAACCTTTCTCATTCTATCAAATCCTTCCTGTTGCCAACCTAGGCACTCACTAAAATCCGCATTTACTCCAAATCTTAAATTAGGGGTGGTATGCAGAAATTTTCTCTGCATTCTATTAGTTTCCTTTTCCCTAGACCATGAGTCTTACTTGCTGTCTACATTTTTAAACACCAGCAAATTGATTTACAGGGTGAATTTGTCATTGTTGGTTAACATGTAAATAAAGTAACTGTGTTTCTTGTACTGCTTAAAGACTAGATTATAGACCAAAGACTAGGACTAATATACAAAGGAAGTAAAATTTTCTAAATGAGTTAATGAAACTAGCAAAACTCCTCTCTTCCATTTCTGAACAACAACAAAAAAGAACTTGCTAAGGAAGAATGCCTATAATTGGATCAGCTCATAACGTGTATATTGAAATAAAATGTTATTAAGTGTTATCAACTACTAGGTATTCAATGACATTTTAGATATTTATCTGTGGTATATGAAGAAAAAAAGTCATCTAAATCAGCCTAATCAACCTGTCATAGAGTACCTGCCAAAGGTATTTGATTTTTGCAACAAAGATATACTTAGTATTTGTCAGGTGCTAGGTACTGTTCTTGGCACTGGTGATGAGGCTCTAAACAGAGTAGCTAAAATGTGATGATGGCAAGGGGATCATATTCAATTTTGCCCTATGTTTAAAGAGTTAAATCAATGACCAAATTAAGAAGTTATAAAGGAAGAGAAAGTAGCAGGTAAAGAAAAAAATTGTTTGCCACTGAAATTCAAAATAGAACTCAAGAGGTAATGAGACAGAGCACATTCAGATGGCACATAAAAAGACATCAACAGTGGCAGGTTCATAGAACATGACAGAGGAAGCTCTGCTGACTGAGAAGAGGAAGCAGAGAAAAAGTCTGTGATAAAAACTGGAAAGGAGCCACAGAAGGCTACGAGAAACAAGGAAGGCCATTTTTGAACCGGATTTTGGAGTGAGTGAAAAGCCAGAGTGTCATTTGAGGATGAGTGTGAGTATAATCACACTTTTTTTGCATGTAAGAAAGCAAGTGAAACATTAAAGTCTGTTGAATTAGGATAGGAGGAGAGGGACCTGTGATATGAATATTCATACCCTCACATTTTTATTTTTATTTCAGTAATATCTTGAAAATGTTAAAGGACCCTCCAAGATAAATATTTAATTCACATTTATTCTTATTTAGAAACTTTTAGAAGAAAAAGAAGTATCTTGGTCTGGAAGAGAAGTATAATGGACTGTCTTGAAGATAAACTATGAGGGGTTTCTTGTAATAATAAGTAATTTAAAAAAAACGTTATTGAATGTTAGTTTTGAGCCAGGCTGAGGACTTAGGGAGACAAATGTGAGCAAAATACACATAGTTTCTGCCTGCTTAGAACTTTAAAGGCTTTACAGAGAGACAAACAGTAATCATAAAGTGTGATAGGCGCTTTGATTGGAGAATTTCAGAAAGTAAGGAGCAAATTACTTGCCCTCTATGAATATAAATTACCAAATCTAGGAATTTTAGAAAGTTTTTCAAAGGAAATGTTATTTAAACAATAATGCGATAGTAAGTAGGAAAGCCAGGAAAAGGAGTGTAAGATGAGGAGGGAGTTCCAAGGAATAGGAACAGCATATGCAAAGGACCTGGAGTTGGTAAGAGGGAAACAATTTGGGGGAACCTGTGGCTGATTCATATTGAGATTTGACAGTAAACAACAAAATTCTATAAAGCAATTATCCTTCAATAAAAAAAAATCAGTGGGGACTTTCCAGGTGACTCAGTGGTAAAGAATCCTGCCAATGCAGGCAACATAGGAGACGAGGGTTTAATCCCTGGGTCGGGAAGATCCCCTGGAGTAGAAAATGGCAACCCACTCCAGTATCCTTGCCTGGAGAATTCCATGGACAGAGGAATTTGGTGGGCTGCAGTCCATGGGATTGCAGAGAGTTGCAAATGATTGAGCACACATACATGCATGAGAAAAAGTCAGTGGAAAGTGGCTGGAGTGTACAGGTCTAGAGAGGTAGCAGTGAGAAAGGAATCTAGAAGCGAGTGTAAACAGACACCAGATCTGAGAGGGCCACTTAAACTGTGAAAAGAAATTTGAACTTTATTCTGAGGGAGTAAGAAGTCACTGAAACATTTATGTAGAGGAGAGAGGTGATGGATGCTATTTAAAAATTTAAAATCAACCTAACTGCAGTGTAGAGAATGGTGTAGAAGAGAGGAAGAGTGAAGATGGTGATTTTATTTAGAAGACAAGACCATTTAGCCTTCTAGGTAACCTTTGGAATGAAAAAGTTTTTTTTATTGAATCTATGATACTTATCTTTTTGTTCTTGGTTGTGTTGAGGGGTGGTTTTCTTTGTACTTGTTTTCAGTGGAGTTTGTAGGGATTCTTGAATATGTGGCTTGAGATCTTTCATAGCTTGGAAAATTCTTGGCTATTGTTTCTTTATATTACTTCTGTTTCATTCTCTCTCTTCTCCTCCTGGGACTTCAGTTAAATAAATATGAGGCTCTTTTCATTGCATCATATCTGTCTCCTCTGCTTGTTTCTGTATTTTTTATTTTTTCAGCTCTGTGCTTGAGTCTAGATTTTTTTTCTGTCCTTTCCTCTAGTTCACAAATTCTCTCTTCAGCTACACACCTAGACAGTGTATTCAAAAGCAGAGACATCAATTTGCTGACAAAGGTCCATATAGGCAACACTATGGTTTTTCCAGCAGTCATGTACGGATGTGAGAGTTGGACCATAAAGAAGGCTGAGCGCCAAAGAATTGATGCTTTCGAATTGTGGTGCTGGAGGAAGATTCTTGAGAGTCTCTTGGACAGCAAGGAGATCAAACCAGTCAATTCTAAAAGAAATCAACCCTGAATATTCATTGGAAGGACTGATGCTGAAGCTCCAATACTTTGACCACTTGATGCAAAGAGCTGACTCATTGAAAAAGAATCTGATGCTGGGAAAGATAGAAGGCAAAAGAAGGGGCGGCAGAGGATGAGATGGTTAGATAGCATCAGGGACTCAATAAACATGAATTTGAGCAAACTCTGGGAGATGGTGGAGGACAGAGGAGCCTGGCATGCTACAGTCCATGGGGTGGCAGAGTTGGACATGACTTTGTGAGAGAACAATGATAACAAAGAAACTGTACCAGTTAGCTGTTCTTATTATATCTCCTTATTCTCCCCAGGACTTCCCTGGTGGCTCAGATGGTAAAGCATCTGCCTACAATACGGGAGACCCAGGCTTGATCACTGGATCGGGAAGATCCCCTGGAGAAGGAAATGGCAACCCACTCCAGTACTCTTGCCTGGAAAATCCCATGGATGGAGGAGCCTGGTATGCTACAGTACATGGGGTCGCAGAGTTGGATACAACAGAGCGACTTCACTCACTTTATTCTCCCCAGTGCTGAGCAAATACAAATTGACTTTCATTCTCTATAGATTTCACCTATTCTATAAAATTCATGTAAGTGGAATCTTACAATATGTGGTTTTTTGGTCTGGCTTCTTTTACTTAGTTTAGTATTTTCAAGCTTTTTCTGTATTTATAGCATTAGTACTTCATTCCTTTTATGGCTGAGTAATATTTCATTATATGGATATATGACATTTTGTTTATCCCTTCGTGATGAACATTTGAGTTGTTTCTACTGTTAGGGTATTATGAATAATGTTTCTATAACCACCTATGTGAAAGTTTTTGTGTGGTCAGATGTTTTCATTTCTCTTGGGTGTATGCCTAAGAGCAGAATTTCTGGGTCAAATGTTAACTTTGTGTTTAACTTTCTGAGGAATTGCCAAATTGTTTCCAAAATAGCCTAACCAATTTATAGTCTCACCAGCAGTACATGAGAGTTTGATTCTCCACATTTTCTCTACTAGTTATTATAATCTGACTGTTTGATTATAGCCATCCTAGTGGGCATGAAGTGTTATCTTACGGTTTCAATTTGCTTTTGCCTGATGACTAATTATGCTGAGCATTTGTTCATGGGCCTATTAGGCATTTGTATATCTTCTTTGGAGAAAGGTCTATTCCAAGTCCTTTGTTCCTTTTTGAATTGGGTTATCTTTATTATTAAGTT